TATCTAGTAGGTAGCTAAGTGCTTTATATATATGTGTGTGTATATATATAATCTTATTATCCACTCTAGGATTTCCTCGTTTTGTTGTTTTTCATTACCTTAAATTTACTTGCTTACTGACATATTTGCAGTTGCTAAAGTACTTCTTGCCAAGCTGTACTGTTCAAAAGTCATTCTGCATAGAAAATTCAGTCTTGTGTTAAACAAAAGGAAAGTAATAAATTTAATGATACAATTTAATTAATCTTTTATTATTACCATCTTTGAAGCTTTGGTGATAAATTGCAACCTCAGCCAAAAGCACTTCTCATGATTCATTGCTTGAGACCAGCACTTAATGTATCATCAAAAGTGGACACCTTTCTTTATTTCATGGGTTATTTAACTTGAGAAAGGGAAAGTAACACAAACCTTAAATTCTTACTCCAGCTATTCTTTTTTAGGAGCCAAAGTCAACATTTATTTTTCCCCAGTGCCTCTCACTTTCACCGAGGAATGTTTAGAATCTTAAATTTTGACTTTTTTTTTTATGACAAGTTCTTCTGTGCAAATGCACTGGTTTTGTTGAGCTAATGCTGTTTTCCTGGATCTTTCCTTCTTTTCCTGTCTGTGCTTCACTCCCTTCCAATTTTGCAATGTAGCAAGCTGAACAGTTGTTCAATCAGATGTACAATCCAGTAAGTTCATTTTTGAAATGCCCGCTGTAACATATGAAAGCATGAGGATCCATTACCTTACTGTGTTGTGCTCTTCCTCTGTGGAGTTTTGCAGAATATGTCTGATGCTCACTATGCTATATTTATTATATCCAGATAAATCAACTTTGTGGACTTCAAGGCCATTTTAAGAATATGAAATATATTAAATAGGTATATATGGTATTTCTGAGAAAACGAACATCGTAGCCTTTAGGTCCTCAACTTCTCCAATAGAAAAAGCATGCAGTGTTTTGTTTTTTTTTTTTTTGCTTTATAATTCCTCCTTCTGCAGTACTTTATTTGATCCTTCAAAGTTAAATAACATCCAATTTAGTCTGTTACGCTGAAGTGAGTTCACTTTGTGAACAACAATTTCTAGGAAGTGATTGATACTATTTTTAAAAGTCCATATGATTAAAATATTCAGATCAGTTTTACTTATAAAACATCATATACATTCAGCCTGTATACATTAAGCATATGGAAACGTATTTAATTGAAGGAAATGGTGAAATATAAAATGATGAATGCAAAGGACAGTATTTGAAAAAGCCAGATGGTGTTAGTTTGTTTTGTTTAGCATTATTATTCTTGCCAATACCTGTTTTAATTGCACAATATCTACCCTTTTGACTTCACTGGGTTTTTTTTCATTTTGAGGAAGAGCAGTAACAAACATTCTCTCTGCAGAGAAGGTATTTTTTTTTTCATTTTTCTTTTTTTTCTCTGAAGTAGTTGCACTTAATGTGCTGTGAGCATCACAGGACAGAAACAAAGATGTAACTGTAATAGCAATTTATAAGCTATAGTTTACATATTAATCATAGCTGATGACCATGTAATTAGAATAGTGTATATATAGAAGACCTGGGTTTGTAGCTTAAGTAATGTGATACTGTGCATTAGGAGAGGTATTGGCTTCACTGAAGTCAATGAGAATTTTGACATTAATGTAAGGATTCCAGCCTTGGAGTCTATTATTGCTAATTTTTGTAGCTTTTAACCATGTAATGGATATGTCACGACTTACGTATGGGAAAAGAGAATCTCACAGAATATTCTGTTTCCTTTTAAAGTTATTGGTTAACTGTTTTTATCCACATATAAACTGATTTTAAAAAGCAAAAGACCTGATGCTGTCACCTCTACCATCCAGCACACTACACTGCTGGTTGAAGAGCTTTTTCCCTTTGAATAATAAACCCTTTTTTTCCTCTAACACCTTGGCTCACCTTTGTGTTTTTCTGTTCATATCATTGGCACTCCTACTGTGCATGTCTTTTCAGACTGGAGTCTTTTTTGTGTTAGCTTTTCCTCTTGATTTTCATAAATGCTTTCCAGTCGTTATTTCAATATTAGTTATTCAGCTGTATGGAATTTGTTTGTTACTTCCTAGTCTATTTGTGTGTGGTATTCCAAAACCAGTCAATCTTTTCTTTAATTTTATTTTTTCTGCCTTTATGTGCTTGATTTTCAAAAGGTCAGCCTGTTGACAGTTCTGAAATAATGGACACAAGATCCTTTTCCTTCGGCACCAGGCAGCAATTGTAGTGTATCTGAGAGACAGGTTTTGTTAAATAAACTTTTCTTGCTCATCTGTTTTCTTTTCCTACTTACACATATCAGCCTACTTTTAGCAATTTAAGTAGTAATGATTCTCTTCTCCTTCCAAACCACCTAAGATCTTGAAATTAAATTGTCATTTGGTTAAAGTCAATGGCAACATATTCTCTGAATTCTATAAGGCCAGGAGCTTTGTTCCTTAAGGTGACATAATAACAGTTACTTGAAACATTTTTTTACTGCAAATCATTATGATACCTTACTTAGTACACTGTTTTCTTGCTGCTGTTGTTGTTTGAGAATAATGATGCTATAAAAGGACAGATGGCAATCTTATCTTAAAGTACTAAAGTTTTAATGCTTGTTTGTTTTCATGTGTCAGAGAAATAACAGTCAGCCTCTGAGTAGACTTCTTGTAGCCCATGCAGTAATATAGCTTTTGTTTTTTTTCGTGGTGGAATGTGTTTTTTCTACTATGTCACAAAAGTATCAACTCTCAAGACTTTAATTTATTGCTGAATCTAATGTTTTTAAAATACAGCAATGAATAAAAGTATTTTATACACACTTAGGTACTGAAGCGGAGATGATACAGAAAGGGTACAAGTCTTGCACACTCTAGCAAATGATTTCACAATGTATTCACCGGTGTGAATAAGATGTGAACAGATCTGGGCACACATTTCTTCCTTTAGAAAGGTGAACTTTTTGAAAAGCCCAATGATTTCTTGTGTAAAACTGGTTATAAGAAACTACATGATTGTTTTTGTACTGCAATGGAAATATAAAGATGTACCTTGGAGTTCAGCTGAACATTTTTCTGAGTGATATAGACTTAATTTTCCAAATGCTCCATCAGAGCATTGTCAGATTAAAATTCGAATTACTTGCAGAATGTACTCTTACTTGCTTAGAGCAGTCCCTGAAGTTAAAAAACAACGTCCTTCTCTCCCCTCCACTCAAAAAAAAACAAAACCCAAACCTTTTAAATTTAAGGAGACTACAAAAAAAAAGCAGCCACTTTTTTAGTTTATTATTGAAAGTAATGGAATTTGAAGGATCTTACAAAGTAATTCCTTGCATGTCAATTCTGCTGTTCAGTTTATTCTTTTATGAAGTAATCTGTTGATTTCTATGTATGTTTGTGTCTGAAGCTTTAAATATTAAATACTCTATCCATCCATTTCTGTTGTGCAGAAGAATTCATGCATGATTGTATCACAAAATTTTAATAGTGTAAATAATTCACATTGCATGTCTGTGCCACACTATTATGGTATTTCTTCTATAGGAAATTTGTGTTTTACGTAAGGAAAAGTTACTTTACATCTAAAGTGCTGTTAGTACTTAAGAAAATATAAGAACAGATACATAATTACTAGTAAAAATAAATGAAAATTTAATGATAATGATATGCTATTTTTATTGAATTATAAAAGTAGCATACAACAACATAGTCACAAAATTGAAAGACAAAGCATCATTTAGGCTAGTTTGAAACTAGCCTAATCTGCACACTTGAGTATTATCATTTACAGATACAGACTAAGCGATCAATTACTTTGCTGCTGAAAGGTATGCATGTCCCAGTCACTCTTACTCATAAAAGCCTTATAAAACCAGAAAATGTATTTTTCCCAGGAAAACAGATGTGGTCCAAGCCTGTCTCCTATAGTCTACAAAAAAGCCAAAGAAATCTGCCCTGTCCGGGTAGGAGCAGAGTCAGTATCAGCTGAGATACCTTTCACCTCCTTTGGACCTACTGTTTGACCTCAAAAGTCAAGTTCCATCTGTCAACAAATCACCCCTGATCTGTATATAACAATTAAAAAAGTGTGCAGTTTAAATCCAAACACATCTTTCAAAGCCATAGAATGTAACGAGGATCTCCTAACTCATTCTATGGCTCTGTCCTAGGAATGTCAGATGGATTGTCTTTTGCTCTCTTTTAATATCAGCAGCTTTGTTTTCAACATAATGATTCCTTTAAAGGGACTCATTGCAAGTTGGGGTACCTACCACCTGCAGAAAGCTCTTTTTCAGAAATGTTGTATGTTCTTGCTCTCCTTTTTTTAACTAACTTTCCTTCTTTCCTCGTTAAACCAATGCCTTTGTAGAAATCTGATTTCTGTCAATATTCTATAGGAAGTACTTATAAAAGTAGAGGCAGCCAACTTGACTGGTGATTTACAAAACTGGGACCTTCTGTTTTTGTTTTTTTTTTTTTAAAGACTAGAATAATCTTATACTTGTGTTTGAACGGAATGCTTATACTGATTTACATGTGGCATTATGGATAACTGCTACACCTCAAATCCCTGTATAAGGTAGATGCTTAACCACATTGGATTTAATTATACCTTATAGGTTCTGCATTGCGTTCAAAACCATGGGGAAATACAGTGACCAAGTCTGTGCTACAGAACTTCCCAAAAACATATCCCATAGATAGGGAATGGCATGGGTCTCACAGAAAGCACAAGAATTGAAAATAATTTTGCCCGTAACCATTTCTTTAACATGATATTGAGCAAAGTTTATAGGGCTAAACTGAAGAATATAATTTATATCTGTAATTTCAGGTGTTGTTTTAGTTCTAAGCTGTGCAGTAGATAATTTGTTCAGTACATTTCTGGGCTGCTGTGTTACAGCAGTAGTCTATGATAGTTGAACATTTGGCACTTTTGCATTGGTGACACTATCACGCAAAAAAAGAAATAATTATGAAAGAGTGCTAACAACTAGTGGGGAGCTGCAATATTCTCAGTTTGCCCTCAGGAAAAATCTGAGGAACAATAGAGAACAACATGCTCTTTGCATAATTTTCTTAGTATCTTAAAGATGGGAGGTAAGTTGTGTACTTTTCTTAATAGACTGAATTTACCTCTACCAGCCTATGGAATGATTTTTATTCTTTGCAAAAGAACACTTGGTGTTCATTTAGTAGAGATAAAACATTGTATAATATCTTAATACAGCTAATGGAAAATTAAGTGGTTTGCAGCTGGAAATTGGTACACAGTCTTGCACATAATTTGCCCTGAGCCTGAGTATTACATTTAGTTCAAAAATTATGAAGCTAGATTAAAGTAAATTTCTTAACACAATTAACACCAGGTATAAAATAAAGATTATTGTTAAAGCAGGAAGATTTATGAGGATGAAAAGAAATCTGTTTGTAGCAACTCACTAAAACAGTGAAATCCAGATATTGTTTAGATGTTACCTTGAAATGAGATGTGTTAGGAAGGTCCTGCATCTGCATAGAATTCAGGGTTGGAGCATGTACTGTTATCTAAAATAGAGAATCTGAAGAGCAAGGCCAATAGGTTTAGTAGGCTTCTCATGTCATTCCCTTGGCTTACTTTTGTAACCAAGTATTTCTTCTGAATACAAACCTCACAGCAGGATAGATAACACTTAAAATCTCCTATCTTTTTTATTATCCTCATGCTTAAAAGATATGTTACATGCAAACCCCATAAGTTTCTTCCCTAGTAATTTCATTTTTTAATTGTTGTATTTATAATAAACCCAGACTTGTACTTATACAGAAAATTTGAACCATTGCAAAGAATATGAACCTTCTAGTGTCTGTAGTTTATAATAATTCTTTCCAAACCATGCATGATTCATTTTGATCTGCATTTCTTTCATTGCTTGCTTGCATTGTCTATTCCCTGAAATTAAGAAGGATAAGTAAATCCACATCTTCTCTGTATTATAAGATAGTTGGAGGACTTTAGGTTCTAAATACCCTGATTTTCTGTAAAATTCCTGTATGTGAAGAGAATTTTATCTGAATTTTCTATGTTTAATGTGCACTGCCTTAAACTACTTGTTTTTTCCTTGCCTGCTCTTTCAAGATGCCAATTAGGAATAATGGGAAGCAAGGGGTAGGCTAAGCATTGCAGTGCATTGTTGTTTCCATCTGTCTGTGATTATTTCAGCCAACAGTTTAAAACACTTGATGCCAGATCATGCTCCCATTGAAGTTAATTGGGGTTTTGCCATTAGGTTTGATGGGAGTAAGATTGGGCTCTGCACTGTTGTTGTATTCATTGTGTTTTCTTGTCTGTGAAACTGCCACCCATCCATGCATGTGTTTGCCAGGTTTGTGCTGTTTCCACCAATGGGCTTGTTCTTCTGATGTTTCAGGTTAAGTATTAACAATAAGAGAAAAAGGATTATTGGGTAAAATGTCTGCTGAAAGAACTTCTTAGTTTATTGATCTGCATAAGCACTATTTCTTCCTTTTAAATTCTTTGTTTCAAACTGTTTGAAACATGGTGATACAGATTACAGTATATATATAAATATCTGTGTTTGTATATATATACATGGGGAAAGAGAGAGAATATTATTTATTAAGAAATTATCTATACATTTGAAAGACTGTAAAATCTTAATGTGAATGAAATTAATTTCAAGGTGCGTTTTCTTTTTTTTAAATTTGAAAAAACTTTTAAACCATGATCACTTTAAATGTAAAAAACCTTCATAAGTTCCCTCCCCCTTCAGGATGACAGCATTTGGCTATAATTTTAGACTGAGGATATTTTAATTCCTTTTTTTTTTTTTTTCTTAATAATGCTTCTGTAGAAAATACTGTCATCAGACAGAAATACCCATAATCCTTTTTAATGAAAATTTGAACTCCCAAACTGAAGAAGTGAAGCTCTTAAAGCTATATAAGTTATTGTCATCCTTATTTTTTAAAAAATATTAATTCTGAAGGCTCATGAGGCTGAAGAGGAGGCACGGATGAATCCAGAATTTGCAGACAGAATGAAACAGCTTGATAAAGAGGCATCGTACTATAGAGAAGAATGTGGCAAAGCTCAGGCTGAGGTTGACAGACTTCTAGAAATACTCAAGGAAGTAGAGAATGAGAAGAATGACAAAGATAAGAAAATTGCTGAGTTAGAAAGGTAATTCTTGTATTCCTTGTCTTACATTGAGTGACGTTTTTATTTACTTGATCTTCATTGCAGAGTAGAGAAGTTAAGAGTAGAATGTTTTTTAACAGAATATTTGTTATGTCCTGTAAAATTGAATCAGAAATGAAGAAAAATGGCTACCTGAGCACTGCATCTCTTGTGTGCTGACTTTGGAACTATTTAAGATTGCCACTTTTTTTAGTAGTCTCCATAAAAGGAACACATATGGGAAAAGCCATATGCAATTTACAGTGGCAAAACCCCTCCCGGGCAACAACGTTGGGGAGCAGTCCTGTCTTTTTACTAACTGGTGAATCAAAACTGTCATGTGTTGCTTCAGTGTGAACAGCATCACTAGTTCTCAGAGATCTTTAAAAGTATTGGTAAGTATTTCTAACCAGTCTCATGACTATTTAATAATAGTTCTAACTTTTTCTCAGTGTTTCTGCAGCCTTTGCCCACTTCATAGAAATATTTTTTGACATCGACTAGGCAGTGTTTGTCTTATTTCAGAAAAGGTTGTACAGTCTTTCCTTAAAGGAGACAGGGAGACTTGGGGATCTATTTGTTTCATGCTTTTCATAATTAAATGATTCTTGGAACATTTTCCCATATGATATGCTGCAATTTATTTGATTGACAAGCAATTTACGTGGATCTGATTTGGTTTTCCCTTCCTTTACTTAGCCACGTTTTGGTAAATGAAAGAAAGAATTTTATGTTTTCCAGTATTTTATATGATTGTTTTCTAGTGTTCACATTGAAAGAAAAGTGCTTCTTAATTTCAGAAGAGAAGTATAAGGAATCTCATTGTGATTATTGCTATCATTCCAGTCAAGATATAGGACTGCTACATCCTAGTAGGGAGACTTTCCGTTAAAGATGAGAAGGTCTATCAGAAATGTTTACCTCAGGGTGAGGGAAACCTTGGAAAGGAAGATGTGTAGAACATCTCTTATTGATCATAACATCAACCTTCACAATCTCCAATATGTATCTTTTTTTCTGCAGATATTGGGCAAAGGTTTGATAATGGAAATAATAAAAGGCATATAGTTATCAAATTGTCATGAGAACTGAGGCCTCAAATTTAAAGTGAATAAGGAGATTTGTACTCAAAATAGAACTGGTGTTCATGTGACAACTTTAATTGGCAGCTACCTCTCTTGCCAAATCAGAAGACATTTATAATACTCTAGTGTTTGCACTGATTTTAATGTGTTAAGTAGATACCAGAGGAAGCTAGTAATGAAGACTGATCACTTTATGCATCATCACTGTGAGTTCTGCCTAAATTATTCAAAATTCTAACGCAGCATTTTGGAAAAAGATAACATGATTAGTGAATTTGTGTGGTGCTGCCTATTTCCGTCTAGTAATGCATATCCTGTAGGGGTTTGTAATATAGAGACTCCAGGTGTGACCAAGCTGGTGGAAACTGACTATAGTTTTTACAAAAAGAGTAACTGATATCCTCATCGGGCTATAAAACCGACTGAGTTACTGTGTGACATTAGACAGAATAGTAGGTGAGCAAAACTTTTGTTCAAGAGGATAATCTTGAGAGCTTTATTATGTGACAATCATATATGTGTTGAATGGTTGAATTATACTATGACAAGATTAAAAGAACATGATGAAGTAGTGAAGTTTTTGATCTAAAATTTTTAGTAAATGTTAATTTAAATATTTTATGTGAAAAGGAGATAAAGAATTTATATAGATTAGTAGCTTTATTTGAATTCAGTTGAGAATTATTGATTACACAACAATGATTACAAAGAAACAAGGAGCCAAGGGATGCAGAGAGATTACTATGACCTTGCCAGCACAGGACCTCTTATTTAGTTTGTGTTTTTTTTTTAAATTTGATGCACTTTTATTAGTGAAAGTCTGGGACACCAGTTTCTAATCTATAATCATTGATGAGTGTGTTGATCCTGATATATCTTTACAGAAAATAACTTGGTACCACTGAGTAAGCACAGACTTTTTAAACAGGATAGACCTTGTTTTGAATGTGATGAAGCTATAAGCTTTGCTATGAATGTTTAAGTGCTTCCATAATGCTTACAATAAGCTATGTGGCATGACCAGCTAAGGTCAGTAGTATGTTGTAATTTTGGCGAATCATCGTACTCTTAAGATTTGTTTGTGAATTCTCTAAACTTTAATGCAGTTTCTCACTTCAGTTAACTTATTTATCACTTTCAAGATTAATTCCAAATTCCTATACACATACTGTATATATCTTAATTATTGTAAACTAGGGAAAAAAATAATTTATGTTAAAATTATCTATTATTGATTTCATCAGCAGAAGTTACAGCCTTTACCTGCTTTTGGAATCCTAAAACTACTTTGCACCATGTATAAGCACAGGCAGAAATTTGTTGATTAGTACAGTAAGGCTAGAAATCTGCTACCAATATAAAGGTGTAATAGGGAAATGTATTTAAAGAGAGGGTTTCTAACCCTTCTTACTAATCAGGCTCACTTTAGGTTTCTCTAAAATTTAATTTATTTTCTCTCCTTCTTTCTTATTTTCTGAAAATATTGGCCTAAAGACCTAAATCTGTATAAAACTGTGACACCTGTTGATGTCCCTAGAGAGGGAACTTTGATGTTGCAATTCCCTTTTCTAGGGGGTTATAGGTGGAGTGTAAATTGCTGTAATGTTTTATGAAGTGCTACTACTTTTTCTGCTTGTAATGACTTGATTGGCTCATTATTGAAGGGAAGAGGTGGAGCCAAAGTTCAGTTTACCCACTTTATGGGAATAAAGCATTGTGAAAATGACTGCAACTTTAACAGAAGCATGTTTGAAAATGTTCTTTCCTTCTTGTCCTGCTGTTTTCTAATTCATATAATGTGCTCTAGGTTGCTGTTTTCTCTCCTTCCTTTTTCTTGGTCTTTTTTTTTTCTTGCTCAGAAAAGAAACATCTTCAACATTTTCCCTAACTTCAGATGCAAGGGTGTCTCTGAGGTTTTCTAGAAAAATGAATGCTCTTTTGGAATGTATGTGGTTGTTAATAGCTTGCTGGGATCCATGCTTGCTGCTATGCCAGCAGTTTTCCATTACAAGATAATTGCAATAGCATAAATTCTCAAAATTTATAAACATAAATTTCTGAGAGAGTTATAATCTAGAGTATTGCAAGCTGTAGTACTTTCAGAGTATTTATTATATTCACATACAAATTCATCAGCATGATATATGATTGTATAACTCAGTTTGAAAAATAAAAACATTTATAATAAAATCATTTACAAATTAGAACAAGATGATGAATACTAATGCCCTACTATTTTTCAGAAAATATTGACACAGGAAGTGTCAAATACTCAAAGGTAGATACATCTGCTTCAAGACATGGGTAATTGAATTTGTAAGTGTATGCTATATGGCAGATGAACATTATTAATAATCCTGAAGCTGATTTTATATGAATGGTAATTATTTTAGTTTTAATGTGAATTTTCTTGCCTCAAACTATCACACTTCTGAGTTGCATCACTATTCATACTATTCCTCATATATAAAAACAAGTTGTTCCATTTATTAAATTACTCCATATATATTAATTTTGTATTTTATTTCTTCGTATTGTCACATAGGAGAACAAATTCCTCCTCCTATACTAAGCTGTTTGATAATTGTATTATTATATCTGTCACGATTTATCTTTATGATGAGAACAGGTTAAAATGAAATGCAATATATCTCAGCATAACATACTTTTTGTAAACTTAGCTTGATGTTTTTCTTTGGTTTTCTTCATGAAGGAAATGTGATGCAGGGTTTGGTTTGGTTTTGGGTTTTTTTTTGATAATGTAAATGAAACTGGGTGAGATAGTGATCAGCTTAAATTTTATGTGAAGGACCTAGCCAAAGGGAGGTAACTGCAGCTGAAACGGAACTTCAGGATGGAAGGAGTGTATTGTTTAATGCTTTTACTAATGGTGTTAGAATGAAAGGTATATTTATCAAATATGCTAGGGAGTTTGAATCGTGAAATTAAGTGAAATACAATAGTACAAAATGTATGACTGTGATGTTAGGAGCAGTAAGACTGGCTGCTGGAAGCTAAGGGTAATCATTGATGCAGTTTAGGAAGAGAAAGATTCGATGAATTTGCTTATGTCAGTCTCATTATGATCCATGTAAATAATGAAGGAGACATCTAAATAATGAGGTGTGAATCCTGATGTCAGAATAAACGTCTGCAGTATGGATAGGAAGGTATTAACGTCATCAAGCACTAGCAAGACTCCGTGTGGAACACTGCTATGCACTTCTCATCAGTCATCCTGGAGAAGGTTGGATAAAAACTGGAAACAGGTGTAGAGTGTGCTGGTAGGATGATTAAAATAATGGAGTGCTCATGTCACAGGAGTCCTCCAAACACCAGTGGTGTGTTTATCTGGCAAAACAAAGGCTCAGTAGGGATGCTTGTTCTCTATAAATATGGGAAGGGGTAAGCACTGCAGTGAAAGAAAAGTGATTTCCGTAAAAGGCTGCTGGCACCTAATACAATGGATGTAAATTGTCCATTAATAAATTTAGACTGAAACGAGAAAGTAAGTGATGAGAACATAGTTTAGATTGCAAAATCTTGGATCTGCTGTTATCCAGTGGTATGCTAGATGGTTGGTCATTTGCTTGATCAAGTGTAGCTTCTCAGCAGAGCTTACAACAATGCAAGAGCTCATTTAAAAATGCTACACTAGCTATGAGACAAAACCAGTTCTTTTTTAAACAAGAAGTTTTGGGTTTTTCTTACTGAATTCTCATACGCAGCAGTAAGTTTTGGGTGATAACACTATAGATATGCATTTAAGCTCAAGGTGTTCAGACTACAATTAATTCATTCTGAATTGATTTGGGTTTGAATTCTGACAAATATGAGTCCACATAGCACTGACAATCCATTACATAAATGGCAAAACATCAGCATATGGAACGATTGCATTAAAAAAAAAAAGTATTT